GGTACGCAGATAACATAATTATAACTACCCCAGACCTTTAATTTGTTCTTCACTTTTAGACACTGACACTAAATAAATCATCCTAATTGTGATGACAATGAATTCCGTTTGTTTTTCGTTTAAATTGTAAATATAGTTCGAATACGACATATGACAAGTTCCAGTTTTTGTTTAAAAATCTTCATTCACGTCTTATATTTATCTCATTTTTATCTTTGAGCACCGAAAAATACTCTGCACATGCTAGAATAACTAACAACTGATGTCTTTTAGATAGCTGAAAAGTTTGATTACAGCACCGAACAGTGTTGTTAAGGTTACAAATTGAAAATACAAAATGCAAAAGTGATCAAAAGTTCCTAATTTGTAACCGAAAATATTAGCATATTATTACCTGTTTTAGTTCTTGCCGAATAAAACAGATTTAAAAAAATTTTAAAATATGTAGCAAACTAAAACAATCCAATGTTATTGAATTTCTGTGAAAGTGATTTCTATACGCCGTTTTAGAGTAGTGCGACAAGTAATAGACATGATGTACGAAAGGCTTTGTTCCTCGCGCGTGCGCAGACTTCGCGGCGCCATCTTAACTTCACTTCTAATTGACCGCGGTAGGATTAGCTCAGTCGGTAGAGTGCTTGACTACACTCTTTTCAGTTCCTACAAGAATCTATTTTATAGGAATGTCGAGGCTGAAATTTGCGGAAGTTTTAAAATAAACCTGAGAGCTGAGAGTTTGAAAAGGACTCTATTAAATTTGTGTTTGAAAATCTGACAGTGTAAATATAGTACGTACAGTTTATGTTAGTAACTTAACCGAAGAAAATTATTCCTTTAACTAAACGCAAAAACACTAGTAATTGAAACCCAAATACATTCCAAAGCGGAAATGCCATAAGCTATGATTTATAATCAAGACTACTTCGAGAATATTTTCAGCCTAAAATCGTCAGAAAAATTAGGACATTCAGCCTGGGCCGCAAAGAACAACATTCTTAAATCCAAAATAGAGTTCATAGTGCGGGAGGTCGTGGGTTCGATTCCCGGAGCCTGACCAATACTCGGGGTCGTACAACGACTGGGTCGGAAGTTAGCTGAGTAAACAAGTAGACAATACGACGACATATAATGAAGCTTTCTCCGCCAAAACGGCTACAGGTGGGCGTCTTGGAAGAAATATCATGAAGGTAAGATTTTCACACAATTGTGCAATGAACCAGTGAGGAGAAACCTCCGAACATAGCTGTGACCAGTCAAAACTAAAACAAGAAAATCTTTCAGGCCCTAAAAAAATTTTAGCCACGCACGTCACCATAGCTTTGACGTTTAGAGATCCTGCCGGATGTAAAAAGAGAAAAAATATTAAATGTGTAAATTAACAATCTAGAGCGAAGCCAAGTTCCAGTCCAGAAAATCCGTTTCTTAAAGCGATGGTTCAAGTAAGCCAAGTAACGTTAGAGGCATTTTTGAATGTCACGTCAAGTTGCTACAGTAAAAGGTTGAATTTTATGTCACTTTGGAAAGACAAAAAACCCGAAATTTTCAAGCATAAATGAGTAAATTCACCATTTTTACATAGAACATAATGCACCTTGTGCATAACCATTGTCTTCGATTTCTCCTGGGGAGACTGTAATATCCAGGAGAAACTGGAAAGAATGGTTACTAACAATTTTTTTTTTTGGAGGGGGGGGGGGGGGAGGGGGGGGGTAAAAACATGGCCTTCAGAGGTCCTGGTGAAAGGGGGTGCGCTTTGGCTCCCAAAAAAGTGTTTTCGTGTTATTCCTTGTTACTTTATTTTTGTTGTTGTGTGCTTTTGTTTTCTGT